GAGAGAGAGAGAGAGAGAGAGAGAGAGAGAGAGAGAGAGAGAGAGAGAGAGAGAGAGAGAGACGCGGTAAAAAGTAATAGAAGCGAATTTATAGAGATTTACTTTTGAATTCACCAAGCCGGGCGGTTTGTTTGCTTAGCGTTTCGCGCGAGTGCTCGCGCCAGGATTCGATTGAAATTATCGCGTGTAATAAGCTAATCCCGCGGGAGATCTTATCGTCGAAAATCTAATCGAATGGACGCTGGCGTAAGTGAACGTTTCGTGCGCTCGGATTCGACATGAAACGAAGTCTGATCGGATTTCGGGTAAAAAGGGAGAAAGAGAAGGCGAGAGACTCGGAAAAACATGTAGCAGGCGACAATAGGATTCCGCGACAAGTCGATTTGTCGTAGAGTCAAGTTCTCCGACCCGTCATTTGTTGCCGTTACACACTCTTGACGCGCGTTTTCTCTCTCCCTCTCTCTCTCTCTCTCTCTTCCGTGCTCCGAATATGCCCATGCGACATCCGAGCGATTCGATCACTCTAGCGAGGATTTCGACGTGATGGAACGACGATAATGCGACGGTAATTCGATGCACCATCCGATGCATTCGTATTCAAAACGCGCGTTAGACCTCCCAAGAGTGAGCTGTCCCCGAGTCCACCTGGGTTCCGTAAAAAACGGGATTTACTCGAGTCGAAATTCTGGTTCTACGTTAACCATTGAACAGATTCTGCCAAACTTAAAATATTAATGGGGAAGATATCAGATTAATGAGAGTAAGTGAATAAATGAAATAGTAAACTTTCTTTTTTTATAATTTTTTAGTGGCGTTGAAAATTTGGATAGGATTTAAAAGAGATGAGATAGTAGAAGTTGTGTAATATTCGCAACCGATTGTCTGTATCCTATATTCTGTAAAAAATTGCACATATTCTATCTACAGTTGAGTAAGTCACATAATTAATTGTTTGTTTAAATAGAACATTAGTCTGTATAATGTTATATTCCAAGATTCTCCACTGATCTTTTAAGTTTGACGATATATTTGCAGGATTAAAACACGTAAAGAAATTATTTAGTAATATCAGTTAAATCTCAGTGGCTGATTCGAACTTAGTCAAAAAACTTATCGTTTTGCTGTCATTACTAAGAGTTGACTATTACAGGCAAAATATATTCACTATGAGATAGAAATTTATTAACAGAAACTAAAAACGCGCATTTGTTGTGTGTGTGTTGAGCAATTATTTCTAAATATCTTATACGCGCGAATCTCGAACATTCGACTTTATAATGTATATTAATCTCATGTGATCGTAATAGACGAGATGAAGAAAGAAATCTGAAGAATTCGATCGCGAGTGAAAGAAGTTGTTTATATATAATATTGTTCATATTATTGTGTTTGCGATGCTTCTTTTTTTAATCGATCATAACGTTTGACTCTTTTACGTGGGCAGCTAAAGAACAGCATGTATGTGTATGAGAATGCGTACTGAGGAGATTTCTTTTTACTTCATGTCGCTACGTCGAATTATTCGCGTGTTATAGACGTTTAAGGCCGCGGAATGACATTAAGTTTAGTCTCGAAATTCGCATTGGCGCACGATGCTTGCTCTCGCGTCGGTGCATTATATTGCTTCTAAAGTGAGATGAATGACTGCGTGACCGCAGCGAGCAGGTGAGCGGACCTGTGCTTATCTGAACCGCGGAGTGGGGGTAGCGAGTTGTGCCACTGTATACCGTCGCATACAGCGCTAGGTGACTTTCCATTCATACATTCCATTCACGCGCTGCGTCGTGACGTATCCACAGCTCGCTGCAGCGATAACGCCGGCCGATCGAAAACGCAGATTGATACAAACGTCAATAACTTCGCTTGTAGACGTCATAGCGACTTGAAACAAAAATCACTGGAAAGGAGATATTACTGCACTTCCGATGAATGTGAAATTGTCCTTCGGTGAAATAAGAATAAAATAGCGTAAGTATACAATTATGAAAAACATAGGTGTTTGTATTGTTTATAAACACATAGGTGTTTATGTTAAAATGGACGTGAACTGTCAATCTATGTTAAAAGCCAATGGGAAACCTTGGTTTGGATTTGTAATGTGAAGCGTCAATTTCATATTTTCGACAAGTATAAAGTACAATTTGAGAGAAAAGCGAAATGGTAATATAATTGGAAGTTTCTACCTAGCAGCGAATATTTTTTGTCATAACGTCGAAGTTGGAATTGTTAAAAAATTTAGCTTCGGTAACAACGAGACTAGTTGTATCTATTTTAATGGCACGTTTTTGCGGTTATAGCTATATTTTAACTCTTGCAGTTAATTCTTTTCCTGTGTGAATATAAAACCAAAATTTCGACCCGTGTATATTCACAACAACAACATACGATAAGAATGATGTATACGGGACGCGTTACATTCTTTTTTATTGTGTCGGTTTACCTCCTCGAGATTCTCAGTAGATGACACATTGAACAAGTGCAGGTCAAACGGCGGTGACGTGAAGTGTGCGGAAAGATCGATGGCTTCTTTAGAATCGAAAGAGAAGTCTTTTGACGGAGAGTACTGTCAAATTGACTATGACCTAGCCTGTCTTTTATACGCGTCGTCAACTTATCAACTTATTCGGTATATAAAATTGCGCGTCGAAAGGAATAGAATAAAGAGATATATCGAGATGTTTAATTTACTTGGCTGTAATTTGCTCGTAATCCATTGAAGCCTTATCCTTTCATTGCATATAAATTATTTTTATAAAAATACTGTTATTTGCAATATACAAAAAGATATTTTAACAATATACTATATACTAAAATATACTAATAACTGTATAAAACTATTCTGTACAATATAATAAACTATATTCTAATAATAGTATGTTAACATACTCGCATAGAAATTATTTGGTTAGTTAAAGATAAGAACAATAGGTCGTTGATGTTTCATGAATCGAAAGGAAATGTCAATGTGCGACGTTTACGTAGACTGCTTTTAGTCCTGACATTTATATTCATCGGTAACTTTGATTGTGCGCCGTAGGAATTGAAAATGGTTCCTGAAACGAAGCAAGACGACAGTAAAACTTCCACGGGGACATACTAAACGGGTAGGGAAAAGAGAACGAGAGAGACAGAGAGAGACAAAGAGGGCGTGAAGGAAAGAGCAGGATAGACAGATAGTGAAATAGGCAAATCCCATGGCACTCCATCCCACTCTGGCAGCGAGTCTGCCAGGCACTAGGGAGAGAGTGGGCCCCTGTTATACTGGAGCTTTTATTTCCGAAGCATCGATCTCCATAAAGTTGCTGCCGCGAAATGAGTTCCTGCGGTCTTCCTAGAGCTCCCCTAAAGCGCTTTGCACCTGCGGAGATATCCAAAGGGTATGCGCGTGTGCACGAGAGAGGAAGAGAAAGAGAAAGAGAGAGAGAGAGAGAGAGAGAGAGAGAGAGAGA